CCATTGAAGAAAGGGAAGTATCTTACCCAAGAGAGTACAACTATGTCAAGGATGGTGAAATCATAGGTGATCCATCCAAAGGAGTAACAACTCAATCTTCTCTTAGAAATATTTTTAATTATGTTGCATTTATCTCATGCATAGAGCCTAAGAATATTAAAGAAGCATTAAATGATGAACATTGGATTATGGCTTGCAAGAAGAGTTAAATCAATTTGAGAGAAGTAAAGTATGGACATTAGTTGAAAGGCCTAGTAATAAATCTACTGTGGGTACTAGATGGGTGTTTAGGAATAAGCTTGATGAGAGTGGTAATATAGTGAGAAACAAGGCTAGACTTGTTGCTCAAGGGTATACTCAAGAAGAGGGCATAGACTATGATGAAACATACGCTCCCGTAGCTAAGATGGAAGCAATTAGAATGTTATTAGCATTTGCATGTTTTTATGAATTTAAATTGTATCAAATGGATGTTAAAAGTGCATTTTAAATGGTTTTATAAAATAAGAAGTGTATGTGGAACAACATCCAGGTTTTGAAGATTCAAAATTTCTAAATAATTTTTTTAAATTGACAAAAGCACTTTATGGTTTAAAACAAGCTCCAAGAGCTTGGTATGAAAGATTGTCAAACTTTCTAATTGAAAAAGGTTTTTCAAAAGGGAAGGTTGACACTACATTGTTTTTAAAGCATAGAGGTAAAGATTTATTAGTAGTTCAAATTTATGTTGATGATATAATATTTGGTTCTACTAATGATATTCTTTGCCAAGAATTTTCTAAGCTAATGCAAAGTGAATTCAAAATGAGCATGATGGGGGAGCTCTCATTTTTCTTGGGACTCCAAATCAAGCAAAGAAAAGATGCATCTTCATCAATCAAGCTAAGTACGTCAAAGATATGCTCAAGAAGTTTGGACTGGAAAATGGCAAACCTCATGACACTCTAATGAGCTCTTTAACAAAGCTTGACTTAGATGAAGGAGGTAAATGTGTAGATGTTAAATTATATAGGTCAATGATTGGATCTTTACTTTATCTAACTGCAAGTAGACCAGCCATTATGTTTAATGTTTGCTTATGTGCTAGATTTCAATCATGCCCTAAGGAATCACATTTTCTAGCTATTAAGAGAATCTTTAGATACCTTAAGGACACTCATAGTTTAGGACTTTGGTATCCTAGAGACTCTAGCTTTAGCTTGCATGCCTTTTCTGATGCGGATTATGGAGGATGCAAATTAGATAGGAAAAGCACCTTCGGTACTTGCCAATTCCTTGGAAATATGTTGATTTCTTGGTTTTAAAAGAAAAAAATTGTGTTGCATTATCTACCATTGAAGCGGAATACATTTCAGCCGGTAGTTGTTGTGCACAAGTTTTATGGATGAAGCAACAACTTTTTTATTATGGAATTGAAGTAGGTACTATTCCTATCAAGTGCGACAATACTAGTGCTATTTGTCTCACTAAAAATCCCATCCAACACTCTAGAACTAAGCATATTGAAATAAGACATCACTTCATTAGAGACCATGTCGCTAAGGAAGATATAGTTCTAGAATTTGTTGATACTTTGCACCAATTAGCGGATATTTTTACAAAGCCTTTAGACAAGGAAAGATTTTGGACACTTAGGAGAGAATTAGGTTTAACCAAACTATCTTCACTTAGTGTTTAAAATAATTTTAGCACTTTTAAGAATAAATGAAAAAAGCTTATAATAATAATTTTTGATTGCATTCTATGCTATTAGTTAGGGGGAGTTTATGCTATTTGGTGAAAATTAATTTTATGTTCAAATGTAGTTTAAGGAATAATTTGATTGACTGAACATGATTAATTTTCAATATATGAGTTACCAAAACCACTAGAGCTAATTAATATAGCATTTTGAGTGTTTAAAACGGATTTTTGACATTTTTGTGCTTAATGCATCGATTCACTTAACCGTGCATCGATGCATCCCTTTGAATGTGCATCGATTCATCTTGTTGATACACCGATGCAAGTCTTGAATGTGCATCGATGCACAGGGTCATGCATCGATGCATCCTTCGGGTTTTAGGTTAAAAAGGCTTATTTTCTCATTTGTTTCAAAACCTAAAACTTAACTCTCTTAGCCGTTCGCCTCCTCTCTCTTTCCTACTCTCAAAATTGCTCCAAATCCTTGGTTTTTGATCGGAATCTTTGAGCTTTTCAACTCCTAATCCTGTTTCAATCATTAATTCGTGCAAAACATCAATACATCCCTCTCAATCCAAAAATTCAAGGTAAACTTTTCTAAAAATTCATTTTATCAATTTTCGATCTTAGGAATAGTTTTGATTAGTTCTAGGATGAACATTATATCGGGCATTGGTTATATGATGATTCTAAACTAGATTTTATAACAAATTTCACCAAAAACACATAATTTTTCAAAATTTTCTTTGAAATTCGAAATTAAAAAAAATTATTTTCGAAAATCATTGATGTTTTTGACTTCATTATATTGTTTTTATGAAAACTATATGTATTGAAATATTTCCAATGATATTTTCAAATAGTTTTCAAAACTTTGCCCATTAGGATTGTTTTAGAGAACCTTGATTATTGCAGACTCAATTGAGTTTTGGGATTGATTATTGTGCATACATGTTTTTCAATTTGCAGGTTATATATTTCTTTCCTTTTTTCGATCTTTGAATCATGTCAAATCCCAAACGTCCTAGGTCCTCTTTGAGTCGGTCAAACCAAAATCGTCCTCCCGTTCCTCCACCACAAAATCCAAACAATCCTCAAAAGACCATAATTAGTACATGTTTTAATATGCCTGAACGTCGAAGAGAAGAATTGTACCATAGGTACATGGATTCTTTCCAATCTTATAGAATTAGGGAAGAACGTATTCCATCTCTACAAGCCATGATAGACTTTAAATTTGAATACCTCCCGATTCTTAGAACATGGAAGTTTGATAAACTGTTTTCTCTTAGACCTGTCGTCTTTCATCAATTAGTCCGCATTTTATATTCTAATGCGGTCTGTATTCAAAATGAAACTCAATGTGGAACTATAGGAATTAGATCCTAGCTTTTAGGACAATATATTCTTATTGATTCCGTAACTATAGCTTCAAAATTTGGGTTAGATGACAATGGTGTATATGACGAAAAAGAAACTGTGGAATATCCATATCTCCCAAACGCTAGTGTTAGTACCCTTCAATCTCATCACGATCGTTTTCTTCATTTAATGATCTCGTAGTGGTTTCGACCATCCGCGGGTAGGTACTCCACTCTTCGTGCTAGGGATTTATAGTGGATGTATTGTATTAAGACGAGGTAATCGGTCAATGGGTTTTTAGACCCGGTAAGCAAACTCCGGGAGCTAGTTCCTCATGAGTTGCTCCTAGCTCCTCTCGTGCTCCTCCTCCTCCGGCTCTGGCTACTGACGATGATCCTGAATTTCAAAAGCTTATGTAAGACATCGATGATCACGTACCCGATGATGAGTCTGCACCGGAACCAACTCCACAGGAGGATCAAATGCCTCCATATTTTCGTTCATTTTTGGAGACATTTGATCTACAGTACGCTTCCATCGAATCCCACTTGACCGCTACTCACAAAGCAGTAAATCAACGCTTAGACACTTTGGAAGCTCGTCAGATGGAGTTTCAAAGGGAGATGCTTGCACGCATGGATGCTCTCTCTCTCTTGAGATGCAAGACCGATTTCCTCCTCTGCCTCCCGATCCTTCTATAGATGACTAGACTTATTTTATTTTGATTGTATTTGGGATTAAAACTTAAAACTTGGATTGTTAAAACATTTTTTTGTTTTTGAATTGTTTAACTATTGTTGAATGTTTGAATTTTTTATTTATTTGGTTTGATCTTTATTTGCTTCATGTTTATTAATTTTTGCATTATTGACATCTTAGTTGCATTATGACCAATTTACCTTTTCACATTTGATTTGAATATTGATTATGAACACTAATGGCTAACCTCTCTTTTGATCTTTGATCTTAGCAGCTTAAGCTATATTCAATTAAAATGTTTAATCAATTGGCTATGTTTTTCAAAGCCTTCTTTCACTCATTTTTTGAGTCTTTTTGATTTAACAAAAAGGGGGAGAAGTGTTAAGTTTTAAAAGTTTTAAAGGGGAGAAGTGTTATAGTAAGGGGGAGTAATTTCAAAATTGATTTCAAAACTTATTTTCAAAGAAAATCTTAAAATTACTCAAGAGTTTTGTTATATCAAAAAGGGGGAGATTATTGAAAACATTTTGATATTTTGACATAACAAACTAAGTTTAAATGAATTTTAAGATTTTACAAATGATTTTCTAAAGTATATTCGATTCAAATCGAATATCAAATTATTACTCCAAGTTTTTAAGATCATTTCAAACCTTACTAAATGTGTAAAATTGTGTTTTATACTTAAAGTATTTTTGAAACAATTTTCACAAAGTATTTTGAACCAAAATCAAGCCTAAAATCAAATTTTCAAAGTGATGCACCGATGCACCAATCCATGCACCGATGCACCATGGAATTAATTGAACATCGAATGCATTTTATGCATCGATGCACTTAGTGCATTTGATGCATCGATGCACAAGACCATGCATCGATGCACTCAGACTATTTCAAAACATCGAATGCATTTTATGCATCGATGCACTCTTAGTGCACCGATACACCGGAGTCCAACGATCAAAATATTTGAATTTTACACTTGATGCACCAATGCACCTAGGGTATGCATCAATGCACGAGACGCTCCCAACCACTAATATTAATTATTTTCACACTTAAACGACTCTATTGTCCACTAATCATCCCCAACGTTTAGAATCAATTGAAGGTGTATTTAAACAAGCTTAGAAGCAATTGATCAAGAACAAGAAACAACAAGCAACTAGAATCAAGAGAGAATCAAAGAGAAAGCATCAAACCTCAAGTTTGAGCATTTCAAGCCTATTTTTCATTCAATATTCATTTTGCTTTCAAGAACACTACTTGTACTCGATTGTATTCATTTTTTAGTGTTCTTTTCTTTATTCTAGAATTGTGTAAACAATCTACCTTGTGAGGATTTCCTTGTAAGTTTGCAAATTTGTAATCTTCTCTTTGAGAAAGAGTGCTCTCAAGAATTGGGGTATATTCTTGAGAGTGTTGTAAGGTTGTCTCTTTGGCCTCAAAAGAAAGAACAAATTAGTGAATTTGTTGGAAAATCCTTAGTGTGGATAGCTAAGGTAGTGGACGTAGACTTTGGTTGAGAAAGTCGAACCACTCTAAATCGCTGTGCAAATCTTTTCAATTTTCTGCAAAAGCTTCCACCAGATTTTTATTTGCCAATTCACCCCCTCTTGGCCAATTTCGTCGATCGATTAACTCAACATTTGGCCTACCACTCCTAATGGGATTATTGGTCTATTTATAACTCACTCGAGTTTTACCCGATACTACCAAACCGTAAATCGGGGTGTTACACTACAAATAATATAATATATTGTTAAGGATAATCCATTAGTAATTAAATTTCATACTTAGTTTACATTGTTTTTATTAAATTATTATTTAAAAATAATTCTTTTTAAAATATTTATTAAAAACTTAAAATTTTATCAAATAATGTCAAAATTGATAAAAAAATATTCTATCAAAAATAAATTAGAAAAATGAATACATAAAATTAATATAAAAATTAAGAACCAAATTAAAGCCCCGTTTGGGTGGCTTTCCAAAATCACTTTTTAGATAAAAAGTCCATTTTGACCACAAAATCAATGTCAAATGGGTAAAAAATGAAAACAAAAATATTATGGTAAAAACGGTGGTTTCAAATCAACTGCAAAAGTTAGGATTTTTAGCTTTTTGAATTTCAACTTTACGTTTGGAAGCTTTACCCTTACTTATGTATAGACTCCCCTCAAGTATGTGTTTACATTTTATTTTAATAATTTAATACTAACACCATTAAAAAATAATTTATCACTTAATAATTTATTTTAGTTACTTTAAATTAAATAAAATTTATGGTTTATATATTAAAATATTAATAGTAAGTTATTATAAAATATATATTTTTATTATAATTATATTTTTATTTTTATTTTTACTTTAAATTGATATGATTGATATATAAGTGTAAATATAATTTAAATATTATATTTTTAATTTATAACATAATGTCTATAATGAACATTTTATCTTTTTAATTTTACTTTATAACACCAATCCCAAATAGTTAAACTCTAAATTATACATTTGTACAACACTTTTTAAAAGTTCGTTTCTAAATCACGTTGAAAAGTCACTTTTCAAAAGGTATACCAAACTGCTCCTAAATTCAAATTGATCATTTTGAAAAATCTAAAAAATTCAGTCGTAGTGTACCAATTTAAAACGTTAAAAAATATGTTGAGGCAACTTCTTCTTAAATAGAAATAGCTAATTTTATTTAAAAAAATTAAAAATATTTAAAATTACAATTGATGTTTACAATAAGAAATCGTAAATTAAACATATAATTGAGATATTTGCCTATAATCATTAAGAAATTAGCAATTGAGGATCATATAAAACCATATAAGAACAACTTAATACTTCATCCAAAAAATTTGAACCAAAGGTAGATAGAAACATATTTGACTGCTACGATAAAAATGAATTTTCATAACTACAAATTTGCCACACCATAACATCATCCCTTAAATCATCATATCCATAAGAGAAATATCATGATTCTGATTTTCCTTGTTTACTCTTGCGCTTTTTGAAAATTGTAATTTAGTCACTAAAATTCACAATTTTGACTTGACTTTGAAAAATCAACCTTAATTACATTGATCCATGAAAACTTTTATTGCTATAAATTATGGAAATAATATTTCGAACCCTTCTTTATCTTCCTTTATATTTTATTGAAATTCCGGTTTAATTCGATTATCCGAATTATTTTTGGAATTTACTACTTTATAACTTTTAATACAAATCCTGAATCAAAATTATGATTCCCACATAAACATAAATTTTGAAATAAATTATTCATTTATGGGCAAAAATATATAACTTTTTAATATTACATATTTGATTCGTAAACTTTCCATAATTTATACTTTAGCTACTAAAATTTCAAAATTTACATTTTGGTCACTAACTAAAATTTTGGGTTATTGCAACTATGACCACCATGACCAAACTCTAAGGTTGATATCTTGATTTAAAGCTCTAGGAGGGTGATTTCAAAGCTTAGTTTCACAAATTCAGACTATGAAGATATGGGTATAAAGGTGCTTCCTTTGCAAGCATCTACAAGAGAGGAAATAAAGAATAAGAGGAATAAGAAGAAGACAAAGATGGGTGAAGAAAAAGAGAAGCCTGACACGTTTACATCATCCACTTTTAATGAAAATCAACTTTTAAAATATTTTAGGGTTTAATTACACTCCTAGTCCTCCTCATTTCAACCTCACTTCAAAAATACACTTTTTAAGCCGTAATGGACTCAAGCACAAACCAAAACAAGCTATCTTTTGGCCTACCACTCCTAATGGGTTTATTGGTCTATTTATAACTCACTTGAGTTTTACCCGATACTACCAAACCGTAAATTGGGGTGTTACACTACAAATAATATAATATATTGTTAAGGATAATCCATTAGTAATTGAATTTCATACTTAGTTTACATTGTTTTTATTAAATTATTATTTAAAAATAATTCTTTTTAAAATATTTATTAAAAACTTAAAAATTTATCAAATAATGTCAAAATTGATAAGAAATAAATTATTCTATCAAAAATAAATTAGAAACATAAATACATAAAATTAATATAAAAATTAACAACCAAATTAAGGCCCTCTTTCGGTGGCTTTCCAAATTCACTTTTAGCTAAAAAGTCAGTTTTGACCACAAAATCAATGTCAAATGGGTACAAAAATGAAAACAAAAATATTATGGTGAAAATGGTGGTTTCAAATCAACTGCAAAAGTTAGGATTTTTAGCTTTTTGATTTTCAACTTTACGTTTGGAAGCTTTACCCTTACTAATTTATGGACTCCCCTCAAGTATGTGTCATTTTATTTTAATAATTTAATACTAACAACCTTAAAAAATAATTTATCACTTAATAATTTATTTTAGTTACTTCAAAGTAAATAAAATTTATGGTTTATATATTAAAATATTAATAGTGAGTTATTATAAAATATATATTTTTATTATAATTATATTTTTATTTTTACTTTAAATTGTTATGATTGATATATAAGTGTAAATATAATTTAAATATTATATTTTTAATTTATAACATAATGTCTATAATGAACATTTTATCTTTTTAAACTTACTTTTTAACACCAATCCCAAATAGTTAAACTCTAAACTATACTTTTATACAAAACTTTTTAAAAGTTCGTTTCTAAATCATGTTAAAAAGTCACTTCTTCTTAAATAGAAATAGCTAATTTTATTAAAAAAAATAAAATTTTTAAAATTACAATAGATGTTTACAATAAGAAATCGTAAATTAAACATATAATTGAGATATTTTCCTATAATCATTAAGAAATTAGCCATTGAGGATCATATAAAACCATATAAGGACAACTTAAAACTTCATCCAAAAAATTTGAACCAAAGGTAGATAGAAACATATTTGATTTCTACGATAAAAATGAATTTTCATAACTACAAATTTGCCACACCATAACATCATCCCTTAAATAATCATATCCATAACAAGAATATCATAAATCTGATTTTCCATGTTTACTCTTGCGATTTTTGAAAATTGTAATTTAGTCACTAAAATTCACAATTTTGACTTAACTTTGAAAAATCAACCTTGATTACATTGATCCATGATAAATTTTATTGTTATAAATTATGGAAATAATATTTCGAACCCTTCTTTATCTTCCTTTAATTTTATTGAAATTCCGGTTTGATTCGATTATCCGAATTCGTTTTGGAATTTACTACTTTATAACTTTTAATATTAATCCTGAATCAAAATTATGATTCCAACATAAACATAAATTTTGAAATAAATTATTCATTTATGGGCAAAAATATATAACTTTTTAAAATTACATATTTGATCCGTAAACTTTCCAAAATTTATACTTTAGCTATTAAAATTTCAAAATTTACATTTTGGTCATTAACTAAAATTTTGGGTTATTACAACTATGACCACCATGACCAAACTCTAAGGTTGATATCTTGATTTAAGGCTCTAGGAGGGTGATTTCAAAGCTTACTTTCACAAATTCGGACTATGAAGATATGGATATAAAGGTGCTTCCTTTGAAAGCATCTAGAAGAGAGGAAATGAAGAATAAGAGGAATAAGAAGAAGACAAAGATGGGTGAAGAAAAAGAGAAGCCTGACATGTTTACATCATCCACTTTTAATGAAAATCAACTTTTAAAATAGTTTAGGGTTTACTTACACCCCTAGTCCTCCTCATTTCAACCTCACTTCAAAAATACACTTTTTAAGCCTTAATGGGCTCAAGCACAAACCAAAACAAGCTATCTCTTGGCCTACCACTCCTAATGGGTTTATTGATCTATTTATAACTCACTCGAGTTTTACCCGATACTACCAAACCATAAATCGGGGTGTTACACTACAAATAATATAATATATTGTTAAGGATAATCCATTAGTAATTGAATTTCATACTTAGTTTACATTGTTTTTATTAAATTATTATTTAAAAATAATTCTTTTTAAAATATTTATCAAAAACTTAAAAATTTATCAAATAATGTCAAAATTGATAAAAAAATTTATTCTATCAAAAATAAATTAGAAAAATAAATACATAAAATTAATATAAAAATTAAGAACCAAATTAATGTCCCGTTTGGGTGGCTTTCCAAAGTCACTTTTAGCTAAAAAGTCCATTTTGACCATAAAATCAATGTCAAATGGGTAAAAAAATGAAAACAAAAATATTATGGTGAAAACGGTGGTTTCAAATCAACTGCAAAAGTTAGGATTTTTAGCTTTTTGAATTTCAACTTTAC